ATCCTCCTCTTCCTCTCCCTCCTCCTCCTCATCTTCCTCCTCATCTTCCTCTCCCTTCTCCTCCTTCTCTTCCTCCTCCTCCTCATCTTCCTCCTCCTCCTCTTCCTCCTCTTCCTCTCCCTCCTCCTCCTCATCTTCCTCCTCCTCTTCCTGTCCCTCCTCCTCCTCCTCTTCCTCATCTTCCTCCTCCTCTTCCTCATCTTCCTCCTCATCTTCCTCATCTTCCTCTCCCTCCTCCTCCTCCTCTTCCTCCTCCTCCTCCTCTCCCTCCTCCTCCTCATCTTCCTCCTCATCTTCCTCATCTTCCTCATCTTCCTCTCCCTCCTCCTCCTCATCTTCCTCCTCATCTTCCTTTCCCTCCTCCTCCTCTTCCTCATCTTCCTCCTCCTCTTCCTCATCTTCCTCCTCATCTTCCTCATCTTCCTCATCTTCCTCTCCCTCCTCCTCCTCATCTTCCTCCTCATCTTCCTCTCCCTTCTCCTCCTTCTCTTCCTCCTCCTCCTCATCTTCCTCCTCCTTCTCATCCTCCTCTTCCTCTCCCTCCTCCTCCTCATCTTCCTCCTCATCTTCCTCTCCCTTCTCCTCCTCCTCTTCCTCCTCCTCCTCATCTTCCTCACAGACCATCATGAAAGTCGTGGTTTCCAACGTGACCCTGGTGGACAACGGGATGGGCGTCATGCCGCTCGTCTACGCTCCTCCTTCTGTCTCCCACGCTTTCGCCGATAAACCCGTCCACGTCCAGGTGAGAGGGATTATTTTCCTTCACCGAGTCTTTGTTTCTGCGAAGCGTCACTTTAAAATCTCACGTTCCTCGTCTTCCTCTTTTCCCAGAATGCCTTGATCGTCGGCAGCAGCCCGAACTTCAACTGTTCAGACGCTCTGCCGACCGGCGACTTTAACATCGCCAGCAGTGATCTGCACCGAGCGCCGCGACCTCTCAACGGTGCAGTTTGAAACACAAACGCTTCACTGCTGCTGAACAGATTCAGCAGATTCAGTTTGAACGTTGGTGTCAGTTCACGTCCTGCTGGCGCCGCTGTCAAACTGCTTCTTACAGATTCACATCTGGATGTTTTGACTCGATAAAGATCAAAGAATAAATTTAAAAACAGCTTGAACTTCACTTACAGTGCAGGAGTTCATTAGAAATGTTTTTTCCATATATATCCAGGTTGTTTTATTCTGAAAATCTCCTCCTCCTCTTCCTCTGTGCAGGAGGCAGATCTGGAATCTGTTGGCCCACTTTTGGATCTTCACACAACAAAGCTCCAACAAAGCCCCACCATGGCAACAACAACTACAACGCCATCAAGGGACTGATGACGGTCAACGGTGAGTTCAGGTGCTGCTGTGGTGATCTGACCTCTGACCTCTGACCTCTTCTTCACATCGTCTCTCTCTCTGTCTCTCTCCAGACACGATGTTTGTGGGCTTCAGGAACGTCTGCTCCGGCGAGACGAACTTCATGTTCATGACCAACCCGCTCAACGAGGACCTGCAGCACCCGGTGCAGGTCTCAGGAACACAGATGATTGACAGCACAGAGGACGCTCAGGTGTTTATCCACCGGCCTGATGTGAGGTAACGCGAACAGTGACGACATTTCAACGTGCCTCAAACACCGAGACGAGAACTGAGACTTTTATTTAAATGCAGACACAAGAAATAATGATAAAAAGCATGAAATCATTAAACATAGATTCTAATCATTAATGTGTGTGTGCCTCAGTAAAGTGAACCCCGCTGACTGCGTGGACATGGACTGCGATGCCAAGAAGAAGAGTCTGCTGAAGGACTTGGACGGGTCGTTCCTGGGAGCCGTGGGAGCCGTGGTGCCTCAGTCTGAGTACGAATGGGGGGGTGATCCGAGGAGGGGGCTGGGCGACTACCGCATCCCCAAAGTCATGCTCACCTTCCCCAACGGCAGCCGCATCCCCGTGAACCAGATCGCTCCACGCAAAGGTAACTGGCCTCAAAGCAAAATCCTGCGTCCCGTCCGACCTTCAGACGGACGCATCAGGGAATAAACCAGTTTCCTGAACACTGTGTTGCTTCCTGCTCAGGTGTGATCAGGGACACCTGCACCTACGTGAGCTCCTGGCAGAGCTACAAGTGTTTCAGGCTGAACTACAGGATGCTGGTGATCGAGAGTCTGGACTCCGACACAGAGACCAGACGTCTGTCCCCCGTCGCCGTGCTCGGAGACGGATTCGTGGATCTCATCAACGGTCGGAGGAGCTCTCCAGTTTTAAATACGATTCAAACTAAAACGATCTGACAGGTGTTTAACTCAGGTGTGTGTGTGTGTGTGTGTCTGTCTCAGGCCCTCAGGACCAGGGCTGGTGTTCAGGCTACACCTGCCAGAGGAGAGTGTCTCTCTTCCACAGCATCGTGGCCACCGGTCGCTCCTTCGACGTCTTCTTCAGCAGCGTCAGTCCTCAGAAACTTCGCCTCATGATGCTCAACGCCGATCCATCGGAGGTCAGAGCACGACTCAGAGAACGCCGCTCCGCTCTCAGCGTTTCCTCTGACGACATTAACAACTCTGTTTTCAGATCAACACGTTCACATCACCAACCTTCACTTTATTCATTTATTTATTCATGTGTTTGTTGTGTTTGTCTTTATTTCTGAAGCACCTTTCAGACAAGAAATGATCATAAAAACATGTTAAAATCATTGATCTGAGGAAAAACATTCAAATATTAATGTAAGATGAGATAAAATAATAAATCATTACATAGGCAGACACTTAAAAGAAATGCCCTTATTTATATATATATAGATAAAAGATAAAATATTATATATAAATATAATTATTATTAGATAGAGACAATACATGTCGATGAACATCAGCATGAAATGAAAAACCTGCTGGATTTCCATCCGTAGTCACTGAACAGGTGAAGAATAAAAGACATTACAAGTAACGACACAAATATAAATAAAATATAAAATACACAATAAAAAGACACACACTCTTTGTTTGAGACGTGTGTTGAAGGTGGGACATGTAGGACACAGGTGGTATAAAGTCTGTCACAGCTTGTCCTCACAGCTCCCTCTAGTGGCCACTGTCAGCCTCTGCTGAATGAAGTCGTGTAAAAGCTCCATACATTATATTTTTCCGGTGAATTGAAAAGATGAAGTGAAAACATTTTTAAACAGTTTTAAACTATAAAAGACGCCTGTTGTCTGATGTGCAGAGCGTCGTGGTGTCAGTCTTCTACTCCAACCCGCAGCGGCTCGATGTTTACGTCGACAACAAGCTGGTCGCTCCGACGAACGCTGAGTGGAACTCTGACAACACCGACTACACCATGAAGAAGCCTGTCTACGCAGGTACACACACACACACACACACATCTCAAAACATCACACAAGTGTACACAGTTCAGAATGAAAGCGAGCGTATAGGAACGGAAATGCATCAGAGGGTAGAGGAGGTGTGGACAGTACACACGAATAGGGCTAGAAGTGAACGCAACAGAGTTGACTGTAAATAAAACAAACATGTTTCTTTACCTACAAACATGTCGGACACATTATTGTCCTGACTGGTTTATCGTCAGTGTTTCAGTGACTGAAGTGTCTCACATGAAGAACATGACACTTAGATATATAAATATATAAATATATACTTGTTCTTTTCTGCTTAATTGATGCTAGTAAGATAAAACAAGCACAAACTGTAGAAAGAGAAACTGTAGAACTCCTGACTTGCTGCTGATCTGTAGAAGAAGCTGTCAACACTGTTTCTGCTGATTCAAGTGTCAAGTGATAAATTCATTTTTCCTACTTTACCAAAAGCACCTGAATACATCATCATGTTTTTGTATCAGACCAGGTTTTTAATTGAATTTAGAAAAAGTGACGAAGAGTTGAATCTTTTTATATTGATCGTACATGTTGTATCTGTCTCCTCAGGTCAGTACGTCCCTCAGCTCAACGCCTCCTTGGGCACAAACTTCTTCGACCAGGACTACAAGATGCTGAAGGTTTTACTCAGAGGCTCCAAACCCGCGGAGATCAGAACCTCCCCGGTTCTCGTCCTGGCCTTCGACCTTCCCGCCATGACCGAGGAGGAGTTCTTCGGAGACGGCCTGGTCCAGAACCTCGCCACGTTCCTCAAAGTTCCTCCAAACATGATCCGGATCACCAACATCGTCCGGGAGGACGGAGGCGCGCGGCGCAGGAAGAGATCGACGGGCCTGAAGGTGGAGGTGGAGATCAAGAAGCCTCCGGTCCAGGAAACCACCAACAGCACCAGCGGTGAGTGGAGACGTGACGTACAGTTTCTACAGGTTCATTACATGCGTCTTTCAATTCAAACCCGACTCTGGAGGGAAACCGGAAGTCACAGCAGGATGTTTGTGACGTCTGTTCTCAGATGAGGAAGACTTCGCTCTGCTGAAGAACATCGCTGATGATCTGGGTCAGGCGGCAGTTTCCGGAAACCTCAGTCAGTCCATCGGCTTCAACGTCTCCTCGATGGGCGTCATCCCTCCTCCTCCTCCGTCATCCGACCCCAGCTGGAACGAGGTGAAGCTCAGAGCTGAGTCACTAACATGCCTCTGTCAGTTTCACATGCCGCGTTCTCATTGGTGGGTTTCTCTGAATCTCAGGTGGCCAAAAAGGAGGTGACGAGGGAGGAGCCTGAGGTGAGTTTCGTGTCCGGCGTTTCCCGCCTGGTGCTGATGACGGAGCCGCTCGCCGGGGAGTTCGTGGGTCCGCTGTCCCAGCAGCCCAGTGTGATGGCTGTGGACGAGCAGGTGAGGCTGGAGTTAGATGTTACTCTACCGTTCGGCAGGTTAAAGGTCGTCGTTCGTCCCGTTGTCTGAGGGAGTTTTTAATCGATAGCAGAACTTCATGGAGGGAAACTTCCAGAAAGATCAGACTCATGGTTCTGACTCTGTCCTCACTCGTCCTTCCTCTGTTTCTTCCTCCTGAAGGAATCAGCATTTACCTTCTACCTTCTCCCTTCAGTGGTTTGGCTCCTGAGCTGCAGCGGTCAACTGTCCCACGGGGGGTTGATAAAGTTTCCTCATCTAGTCTCATCTTTAAAATAATAATGATTATTAACAGAATACAAATTCAAGCTGGTTTCCTTCTAATTATTTAGGCTGTTTTGTTTTATGTAAGAACATTAATCCTGTATTAATCTTATTTTAGACTAAAGTTACATAAAAGTCAGTTTGCATTTCAGAGAAGAGTGAAGTGGATTAGAGAACAGAAATAAAAGCTATAGAATAGAGCTGTGTAGAACTGTAGCGGTACAGAAACTGACTGTGCTGTGTTGTGCAGGGTGACTGCGTCTCTGTGGGAGTGACGTCTCTCACCGTCACGGCCAGTCTGAAGGACGCAGGTGGAAACATGACGGACGGACTTGGAGGAAACACCACCCTCCTGTTCAGCACCTGCTGGGCCAACTTCACCGACCTGTCCGTCCTCAACAGCGGTGCGTCGACCTCTTCTTGTTCCGTTAGATTTTCCTTTATTTAAACAGGTTTAAACGTCTCGTTGAGTTTACAATCTCTGGCAGAAAGGCAGCTCATAATGTTGTTAATCAATATGAATATAATGTAATAATAATAATAATAATAATATAATACAATAAATATATTGGCGTTCTCGAGCAGTTTTCACAGAGTTTAAATTAAAGTTAAGATGCATCAACAGGTGAGAGGCTTGTTCTCAGGTCGTTAAAGGCAAATGAAGATGAACTTTATTCTTCCCTGAGAGGAAATCAGACAAATGGAGCCGGAAAAATACTCAATTAACTGATTATTTGATTGACAGAGAAATAATTGCCAATAACTTTTGATAATCAGTTACTAATATCAGTCCATTTGTCAAGAAAAAAGTCAAATATCGTCTGAATCCAGCTGTTTTTTTTTATCATTTTGAATTTAATATCTTTGAGTTTTGGACAGAAACGTCACATTGAACTCTGGGAAAAACAATGAATCAGTTAATCAAACAAATCAGTGGGAGATTTGACAATATCAGCAAACAAGGGACAGATGTTCGATGTTTGTTTTAAAATGTTCTGACGTTCAAACATCAGAAAATCTGAACTTTAATAAAAACTGATCATTCTTGATTATTTATGAACATTATTGATTTGAGTTTCTGCTTCAGCTTCTGCTGCTGTCCAACGTCTGACAGAACAGTTGTTTCTGTATAGAAATCTTAAAGAGTTTAACACTTTGATTCATTGATTGATCCACCCCACCCCCCACCCCCACCCCCCTCCCCCCCTGCAGGTGAGAACCTGACCATGGTCTTCACTCTGAAGGAGTGGGGCGCCAAGTCTCGATCCTTCAGCGTCAAAAACACCCCGACCACCGTGACGCCGTCGACCAGCAGCAGCGTCACTGTCCCGTCCACCTCCACTTCCGCCTCCACCTCCACCTCCACTTCCGCCTCCGCCTCCGCCTCCACCTTCACCTCCACCTCCACCTTCACCTTCACCTCCACCTCCACCTTCACCTCCAACTCCACCTCCAACTCCACCTCCGCCACGAGCGTACGGTCCACCACCGACGACAGCGTCTTCAGCTCCAGCAGCGCCGTGTCCGCCGGCAGCCTGTGTCTTGTCAGCGCCATCTACGCCGTGGCGTGCTGCTCGGACAGGATCCCCGTCTGTTAGCCAGATGTGAGGCAGCTGCTGAGCTCAGAGGGTTTGATGAAGGATACCTCAACGTTACTCACTTCGACACGAACAAGTAAAACAAACACACTCCTGACTGTCTGAGAACACGACTCTTCTTCTTCTTTAAAACATTTTATTAAGATTTAAATGAAACGTTTGGGGCGGGGCTACACACAGAAAACCAATGATTATATGATGATATATAATGTGATTAATCCTCAGGTGTCAGATCTCTGTTAAAACAGGTGCAATAAGAGCTGAAGTCAAACATGAAGTTTTGCATTTTGTTGATGATTATTTGAAACTTTATTCTCTTTTCAATAAATTCTATTTTTCATGGTTAAATACGTCTTTGTTGTTTCAGTGTTTTTGTTTTTATTCCTCCGCACCGCGACAGTCAGAGCGGCGGCCATGTTGTTCTCAGGTTGTCCGTCTCATCCTCGTGGACACGATGTCTCAGAAACACCTCCACAGAACATTTGGTAAAAACGTTCATTCACTTGGACTCAAGGATGAACTGATTAGATTTTGGGGGCTAAAGATCAAAGGTCAAGGTCAGTATGACCTCAGAAAACACTGTAGCCATTACTCAAGACTTCACAGCAATTATGACAAAATTTCACACAAAAGGTTTATATTTTAATATATTTATTATTATTATTATTGAATGTTTTCTCTGACTCTGAATAAACGGATGTAACCTGGAACTAGTCTGAGTGGCGGAGGGATACAACCACGAGGAGCTGATTCTAGTTCTTGATGAAGTTAATTATTTTTTATTAGACTCTGTCCATGGTGCTGAAGGAAGCTCTGCTCTGCACTGCATCAGAGTTTCACTAGAGGGCGGGAGACACCGCGGGAAACCCTGAGGCTGAGCTGCCTGATGTTTGAACTCCTGTTTGATCAGAGAGAAACTTTTCAACTTGCAGCTGAAAGCTCAAAACTCTTAGAGACGTTTTATTTTTGCACAAATAAGATTTATGTCAGAAAAACAAAGTGCGCGTCAGAGGACGCGCATCTTCACATCTGTCTCCCAGGAGGAGGAGGGGGAGGAGGGGGAGGAGGAGGAGGGAGGTGACGGCCGACAGAGGAACAATTAGTTTTACAGCCTTAATTTGCGCCCTCCATTTACCCTGAGTGATAACAGCTCGGTGGGGGCGTGTCCTCGCCCCCTTCTTTAACTTTGCGCCGCCTGTCCTCCGGAGCGGTGCGCACTTTGCGGAGCAGCCTCCCGCTGCACGGTGGATGCAGAGTTCAGCTCCGGCTTTGCCCGTGGTCCCCCGGCCGCAGCTCCGGCTCTGATCCGGCACAGAGAACCAGAGGATGGATCTCCACCACCTCGCTGTCCTGTGCGCCGCCCTGCTGCTCCTCTGGGAAACCCCCGGGGTTCAGGCTCTGGCTATTTTCCCTCCGAAGAGAGAAAGCAGCAAAGTGGCGAAGATCTTTGATGGACAGGAAGCTTCTAAATACTTCAAGGACTTTTACGCGCCACCGTCCGAGGACAGAAACCACAGGGCGACGTCCAAAGAGTCGGTGGAGCCTCATGACTACATGCTGTCCATCTACAAGACCTTCTCCACGGCTGAGAGACTGGGACTCAACGCCAGTTTCTTCCGCTCCTCTAAAGCTGCCAACACTATCGCGAGTTTCGTGGACAGTGGACAAGGTAGGTCCATGTAGGACAGACTGACGGCGCAACAAGTCTCATTCCTCCAATCAGAGACAAGCTGGAGTGATGACACTCATACTGCACATGTACGGAAGAGGATAAGGGCCACAGGTGATTTTTTTTTTCTTTAAATTCAGAAATCTGAGATTAAAATCAGACTTTAATCTCAGAATCCTGAATTTAAAGTCTGAGAAAAGTCTCAGATTAAACTTAATCCTGAGATTAAAGTTAGAAAAATCAGAAAGAAAGAAGAAATTAAAGTCAAAGAATCTGAATTCTGATTTATTCTGAATTTTTCTGATTTATTTCAGATTTTTCTGATTTTAATTAAAAACAAACAACAAAAAAAAAAAAAAACAATCTTAGAATTTTTTTTTGAATTTTTTTTTTTTTTTTTTACATGTGGCTCAAATCTCCTTCCGTTCACATGCTCAGTGAAACTTAAGTAATTTTTTCATGAGCTGTATTTTTACTGTCTGAACTTTTATATTTTATAACTTTTATATAAAAGAATCAAAACTTAGTTAGTTTGAATCTCTGTGTTGTTGACTTGTGTGAAGCTCAGGGTGTGTAGCACATGATGCTGTCATGGCTGACAGTTTGGAGGCGGCTGCAGGTTTTAGAACAAAATAGACAAAAATATGCAGCAGTTTTTGTCCCATAGCAACAACAGAAACAACTAACTGCTCATTTTAATGCAAAAGAAAATACACAGAAGAAATAAAGCAGTTATTTTGGGAAGTCTTCAGTCTGTTCATCATAAGCAGCAAAAGAAATAAATCCTGCTTCTTTTAACTGAAGGAAGATTCTGTGTTCTACACAAAACAAAACTGAACAGCTGATTAATATTATTACACAAATAAATACAACTATGATATTACTGCTAAACTGTGAATACTTTCAGAATACTGTGCTTATTGAGACAAAAACCAAACGGTTAATAATTTAAACTTGATGTTTTTTGAATGTGTCTGGGTCAGTTACAACCTCTGAATTCTTCCTTTCAAATAAATCTAGTGAACGATCCGTCATGTGATCACCTTTAAACGGCGGCTCGTTAACAGACAGGTGTAAGTTTCATATATAAAAGTCTCTGAGTAACTGAGAGGAATGCAAAAAGTGTGTGTGTGTGTGTGTGTGTGTGTGTGTGTGTGTGTGTGTGTGTGTGTGTGTGTGGAACTGACTCAGTTTGTCTCTCACATTAATTGGCTGCAGACTATCGTGGATCTTTCCTGTCAGATTCCACGTCTCTGTGGTTTGCACATCATCTCCGTGAGAATGCGTCTGACCTGCTGCTTTAATGCTTTCCACAGATGACCTCCCACTCTCCCCTCTGAGGAGGCAGCGGTATCTGTTCGACGTCTCAACCCTTTCTGAAAAAGCGGAGGTGCTGGGAGCCGAGCTCAGGATATACACCAAAGTGTCTGGGAATTTCAGGATATCTGAGACGGAGCCTGTCGACGTCCAGCTCCTCTCCTGCCACGACCAGCAGCTGCTCGACTCCAAGACGCTGGACCTGCAGGATTCCCACCGGCCGAAGTGGGAGGTGCTGGACGTGTGGGAGATCTTCAAAGAGCTGCAGCACCTGAGCCGGGGGAAGCCCTTCTGCCTGGAGCTCAGGGCCGTGCTGGACACCCCCGAGCGAGAGCTGGACCTGCAGCTGCTGGGGCTGCACCGACACGGCCGGCCGCAGCAGAAGAAAGCCATCTTAGTGGTTTTCACCAGGTCCAAGAAGAGGCAGACGCTCTTCAGCGAGAGGAGGGAGGGGAGGGCGCTGCTGGGCCTAGAGAGGAAGGCCAGGGAGCGGGGGCCTGGCATCAAAGCCAGCAGGAGGAGGAGGGGGGCGGCCGCATCCAAAACCCGCCATGGGAAGAGACACGGCAAGAAGTCCAAGTCCAGGTGCAGCAAGAAGCCGCTGCACGTCAACTTCAGAGACCTGGGGTGGGACGACTGGATCATCGCCCCCCTGGACTATGAGGCGTACCACTGCGAGGGGGTGTGTGACTTCCCCCTGCGCTCCCACCTGGAGCCCACCAACCACGCCATCATCCAGACTCTGATGAACTCAATGAACCCCAGCAACATGCCCCCCAGCTGCTGCGCCCCCTCCAAACTCAGCCCCATCAGCATCCTCTACATCGACTCAGGGAACAACGTGGTGTACAAACAGTATGAGGACATGGTGGTGGAGTCCTGTGGCTGCAGGTAGTGGAGCCCACAGGTGTGGTGGTTTACCCCCCCCCCTCGTCCTGTCAGCAGGTGGTCTGTGTGGGGGCCGAGGCTGCACCTGAGACAAACAGAACTCACCTGGTTTATTCAGCGGGATGGAGACAGTCACACTGATACCTCAAACTTCTCTCTGTCGCTCTGCTCCTGTCCTGAGGAAACATCTGCTCACATCTGGTCGCCTTTAACTCTGCAGTGTCTGAAAATGTCTGATCAGATAAATATTATTTTTATACTGTAAGATAAAGTGAGAGCTGATCTACTCGTCTAACTCACGGCATCACAGCTAATCATTTCCAAACTGTTTTTATTTCTTTAAATACGACACAGAAAACAATCTGTGCCACTTTTATCCTTTTACAGCCACTGTTCTGAAATAATACGTCTATATGAACATGTAATATATGGATAATATATATATAGTTTTACAGTCATTTTTTTAAAAAGAAAAAATATCCAGGTACAAAACATGGCAGAATATACAAATAAATATAAGTCAAACCTTAAAAAGATGGTGTTTTCCTACATTTAAAGCAGGTTGACAATGTGATAAACCTTTTTAGATCAGTGGTTCCCAAACTTTTCAGACTCATGGCCACTTGAAAAATCTCAAAAATATTGATGACCCACATCACACCCTGAGGTGCTCCGGCCAGCGACAACTTAAACCTTCGTGAAACTGGCTTTTACAGTGATTAAGTCTCAATACAAAAAAACAAATAAAAACAATGAAGAGTTTTAAAACATTTGCTGTTAAAGATCTTTTTGTTTTAAGACATTGTATATCATTATTTATATACATATGTATATATATATGTATATATATATATATATATATATATATTATAATTAAAGTCTGATCTGATCAAACTGATCTGTTTTACAGTTATTTGTCGGCCGTCTTGTGACACCTTCAAACTTCAAACTCCATTAGTAAAACTCAATTTAAAAACTACATCCACTAGAAGAAGTAACACAGTGAAACAACGAGAGTTAAACATAAATTAATAAAAATAAAATAAAACAGACAAAAACCAAGAGAACACGTTAAACACTGTTTACTTTACATCGCAGTATATTCACCTGCAAAGACTTTAAGGTCTTTAAGGACAGAATTTACTCATGTGTCATGAACTCAAACACTACTGCTAACAATCCCACAATACAATTTCCCACAGGTTGGGAACCACTGTTTTAAAGTGTGTGTTCAAATTCACCACAATCAATAATTAGTTTTAATGTAAAACATTCGATGATGAAGCGAAACCGACTGATTCAGTTCACGGTCGAAATCTGACGGAAACACAAAGGAACAAATAAACGAGTGAAATCTGAAGAAGAAGAAGCAGATTTCCACCTGACTCGGCCTCAGACTCAGGGAACATCATGGAGAGAAAACGTGAAGCCCATTAAAGGAGCTATTAAGTAAGTTTTGCTATCGCTACGTAGCTAACATTCGCATTAGCATTAGCATCCGTTTACTCAACAGTCACGCCAAGAGCTTCAGCCACCGTTGCATTTACAACACAAGAGGTTGTAACACATCCTCTGAGCAGCTGGACAGACTGGATGCTGCAGTGACTCGGTATCGGAAAGTGACGAAACGGGCCAGGGCTAGCTGGTTAGCATGCTAATAGAAATAGAAGAAAATGTTTCCACCTCTGTTGTAATTTAAGGAATGAAGTTTGATGCTGAACTTGCAACGTTTATTTTAGACTGGTCAGTAAACAGTTGCTAATGCTAACGTTAACTGTGTAGCATTAGCAAAAACGTAAAAATAGCTCCTTTAAAACGAGACACAGCCGCCGTCAGGGTCTCTCACCAGTTCACTCTTCGGTTTTTGTTGAAGAAACATGATTTTGTCTGTAATGCACTGATGTTCAAAGGTACCATGTGTAAATATTTGATATGGAAATAATAATTTATGTTCTATGAATAAGTTATTGCATTTTTATTGTCCGCTTTGTTCCGTTACCGCTTCCAGATGTCAGTAGTCACACATCTGGACGCTCCCAGTCTAATAAACACACGTGGGTGATGTTTTGGTAACAAAACATGACAGATGTTCTGCTCACAGAAATATTCTCAGTGTTTTTCATGATGTTCATATAAATAGGAAATAATTCATCACCAAAGAAAAAGCTTTGTTTTGTTTTTGTTTGGTGAACTCTTTTCTTTTCCCGCTCTGTTGTTGTTTAAAACATTAGTGGCACATTTTACCCTCTTTTATTTTGTGTTTCATGTTTTTCATTATTTACTGGAATCTGAAAATAATATAATATATTTTATGATACTGACTGATACAGAAACACGGAGGCTCGATGTGCGTAGGTTTGATTTGATCCTCTCAAACAACGTGACGCATCATTAGAGCAGGAAAGTAAAATAATCATTTCAATTGTTTAAACCAAATGAATCTGTTCGTATAAACTGTATGAATTGTAAAATATATAGAATAACAGAAAAATTAAAATGTCTTCAGATTTATTTCCTGCTTCAGTGTCAAAGTTTCTGATGATACTTTTGTTTTTTTCAGACATTAACAAAAAATATTTATGATATTTATTCTTTTATATTTTTATTATTTTTCATATTGTTGATTCATTATTATAAAAATATTCATTATGACTGCAGCTGTTGTAAGGGCGGGGGGGGGGCTTTTGATTCTTCGCTCCTGATCAATTTATAACAAGTTATCAGATTGAGACGCTCATTAGTTTGTCAGTTTCTCTGGGTGGGGTGGGGGTGGGGGTGGGGGTGGGGTGGGGGGTGACAGGGTGCAGGGTGAAACACAGAGGGTCATCAGACAAGTGGAAACAGCGCCATCTTCCCTGGGTGGGTGGGCCGTGTTTCTTGGGGGCTGATGCAACATGTAACAAACAAATTGGTGGGCAGATGTAGTGACCCCCCCCCCCCCCCCCCAGACAATGGCAGTGGAGGATCTCAACTCAGATTAAACCTGGCTTTTCCTCACGGGGGTCAAAGGTCAAGTGGTCCATTGTCTTTGGGGGGGGCATTAAACAACGTGCACGTCCTTTTCAGAAGAAGGGGCAGCAATCAAGGGGGGGGGCAGAGGGGAAGGAATGTGTGTGATGCTCAGGGAGGGGCCCGGCCATCACTCCCCCCACACAACAAGGTGAGATATAAAAAGGGGGCGGGGGTGTCTGAGGCAGCTGCTGAGGGCGGGGGGCAGGACAAAGGACTGGAATGTGGCGTCTCCATGGCGGCGTACGCAGGCGTTTCTGCTCTGGGTCTCTCTGTGGCAGATTGGCTGTGAGAGGGAGAGGAAATATTTGGCCTGCGGGGGGCAGGGGGGGGGGTGTAAATCAGCTGTTGTGATCAGAGTGCATTAGGAGGAAGAGGAAGCTGAAGAGGGGATGAGGAAGGATGACAGTGACTGAGAGGAAGAAGAGGAAGAAGAAATCTCCTGAAGTTTTCCCCTGAACTTTTTCCAGTTTCCTTCATTTTCGTGCCTCGCTGTCTGTCCTCAGGATGTCCTGTCGTCCTGTCGTCCTGTCGTCCTGTCGTCCTGTCGTCCCATCATACTGTCATACCGTCGTCTCGTCGTCCCGTCGTTCTGTCGTCCTGTTGTTCTGTCGTCTTGTCATTCTCGAGAATTCTCTGACACATGAGGAAGTTACTGCTGCAATTAGTTAGGTCAACTTCAGGGCTGTTTGTCTGATTCTCTCCCTGTGACTGATGACTGATTGATGAATGATTGATGATTGATTAATGATTGATGATTTCTGGGTTAAAACCAGATTAAAGTTGGTTTAAAAAGTAAAAGCTGTTATTATCTATCATATCTAATTCATTATTTAAATGATTATATTTCCATATGAAGCAGGTCCTCGCTACATGTTGAAGTTTGGTCTTTTAAATGCTTTGAAACTTCACTTATGCTGAACCGAACCACACACACAGTTTCAGCCTCTCTGGGATTGAATACATTCTGATGAAAAAAATGAAAAAATACTTGGCAAAAAGTTCCCTATTTGCTGTTAATTACTGTAGTGTGTTTATTGTTTATAAATTACATGAATTTATTGGGGGGGGGGTTAACAGAAAAACAACAATTAATTTTAATCTAGTTCACAACATTATCTTGTATTCTATTAAACTCACAGAAATTACCAGTAATCAGCTGTTAATACTTCACAATACAGCAAGTTGTAGAGTATTTGTTCAGTTAATCTTTGGTTTTTTACATTAGCACCTTTGAAAATGATTGTGACGAGTTTTGAATGAGAGCAGATGTTCTGTTAATCCTTAATTCATCCACAGTGAATTAGATTCTCTTTTTCACTTTTGAAATAAAACCAGAACCAGAGCTGCAGCACAACTGATCATGAAATCAGGAACTTATTAACTAGTTCACTGTCTTTAATCCTTTTAAGATCTGTCCTCAGGACAATAAAAGTCAATAATACACTCAGGTGTCAGTTTATTAGGAACACCCAGTTAAAACTAACACAGTCTGGTACAACAGTGCTGCTGTAAATCCTCAAACTTTTTCAGAGATGTTGATTCAACTTTATGATCATTTCAGAGACATTTTTGTCTTGCTATTGAATTATATTGTATCATACAAAGAGGCGTTTCTGTTATTTAGTCTAAAATGAAGTTTGGACAAAATAATAGAAACCAGTTTAAATGTAAAAGAAGCCGAGATCTGCTGTAAAAGATGAGATAATTCAATCATACCTAAACTTTGGATTCGACGTTGTTAATATAAGTATGATGCACTCCACCTGTAAAGTTAGTCACCAGCGACACCTATCGTTTAGATGGTTCAGAATCAAACAACCAAAACTGACATCTGGTATTCACTGCGAGCTGGAATGCTTCTGCTTGCTGACACTGATCCACTAACATATTTACCACCACGAGTCATGCGTTGAATTCAGAGAGGAAAGTTTGGAAATGTGCTCGTTCACTTTCTCAGCGAGAGTCTGATGAGAGGCGTAAAGACCGGAAACACAG